TAAATTTTTGTTTCCAATAATTAGAATTACAATCATCTAATTCTAATACTCTACTCATGAAAGTATCTTTATACCATTTAAATGAAGTTAAAGTTTTACATTTCATACCATTTAGTAAGGTTCTAGTATTACCAGAATTATTTGACCATTTACCAGAAAAATATCTAATTATACTTAAAATAACTGTATAAACTACATCTTGAATTATTGTTGAAGTACCATATTCATTTTTAATTATTTTAGTAGAATTGTAAATCTGAATTTTATCTGACTCATCTAGATAATTATCCCACCAACCTTTTAATTGGCCAGTAAAACCTGCTATTATCATTTGAGCAACTGTTAAATCAGTATTTCCTAATTGTTTTACACTAGTAGCATACAAAGTCATTCTTTGAGTTAACAAATATATTTGTCTTTTTGTAAAACCATCTAAATTCCATTCATAGACGTTTTTACCATTATAACTATTGTCTTGAATAAACTCTTGTTCGTCAAATAAAACATCTTGAGGGGTAGGCCTATTATAATAGTATTTAGATTGGACGGGTTTTCTAGTAAATTTACCATCATAACTCTCATATTTTATTTTATTAATACGTTTATCTTGTTCGGATTCAGACCCAGAATTATAATCTAATTCTTCAATTTTGTTTAAAGTATTTATACTTAAATTTTCAGGTTTTTTTAATTTTTCTAAAATTTGATCTAGTTTTGTTTCATTTTTAAATTTAAAATCTTTTATTTCCGGAGGAGGTTGGAAAGTCGCCATTATTTTATTTTTAATTGGCCGTGTTTTCTCAATTTGAGATTGTTTAATAATTTTGTATACATTTTCCACATTTTCTTCTATAGCAAGAATTTTTTTCTCAAAGAATTATAGAATATAAATTTGTAAAATTATTTTGTTGTATTAGTTGGTTAATATGTTCAACGGTTATTTGTAAAGTATTACTTTCAACTAGCTTTTTGTAAGCAGAAAATTTCAAACTTATATTTTCTCTAGAAATCTGAAAACTTTGTTGGGGTGGAAAAATTGATTTTTGTATATTTCCATTTGCAAGAGTATATTCTCTTTCTAATATATTTAAATAATTAAATGTATATTATTAAAAAATCATGGAACAAAATATATGATTTTGTTAATCTATGATAAATAAGAATAAAATTCATCTTGTATAATTGTTAATTCTTCTTTTGGAAATTCTTGAAATAGCCAAGTTTTAAGAGGCTTCAATTTTTTTGTATTAAATTCATTATAAATTATTGTTCTTGCCAGTGATCCCGGACTAAAATTTATTATTTATTCTTTATTCATTAAATTGGAAAGTTCATTTATGAGGCAGTAGGATCCTCTTCATAGACACCTTGAACTATATTTTCTTTTATATTTACTTGATTTATTTTCTTGTCTAATTGAGATGTAGAACACCTAGAAGGGATTTCTACCTTATATTCTAAAGGTGATATATGAGAATATAGTGATCTAGTTGATCTACATCTTCTTATTAGAGGTATTTCTCCATCATTATTATCGAATTCTATTTGAATTCTTCCTTCTGATGTTTTATAATTTCTGTAATTTTTTTTTTTGGTTGAGGAGGAACCGCTCCCTCCAAGACCCAATTTTTTGGGAAATCTATTTCATCCTACTTAATAGCTTTTCTAGTGGTTATCTTAGGCATATCAAAATTACTTTCTATTAAAATAGTTTCATTATTAGGTTTATTAGTTTTTTTTACACCTTGGGTTCATTCTTTTTAAAGGTCTATAGTATATTCTATAACATATACATATTAATTCAGATCCTGGCATATAATTGCATCGATTTGTTTTAACGTTTAAGGTTAAAGCATCAAATATATTAACATCAGATAATGATAATTGTAAATTAGGATAAACATTAAAATATACTGGACCATTGGTCAGACTGGACTGTATTATGCCCATTAAAGATTGTTTCAAATTCATATTACGACCATCACGTAATACAACTAAAAAATTTTCTGGCAAACCTTGTAAAGTTAAAGCTTTAAAAGCAATCTGCACTAATCCTATATGTAAATAATTATGAGTATATTGATATTTATAAATATCTTCATATATTAATAATTTAACAATCATATCATCTTGATTCATTGTTAAATTTTCTTCAATTGTTTTAACTGATTGTATAAAATCTACTTCTTCAAAAGTACCTAGCTCATATAAAACTTTTGGTTGTATTTTAGGAATTGTCCTTTTGTTTAGTAAATCTAATTGTTTTGGGATTTCATATTCTTTATTTATTTGATTTTTAACATTATTTCTATTATTCTTTTTGAACATATGAAAATTCATTTGAGGAATAAGTGTTAAATAACTTCATAATTATGGCTCTGGATTTTACCATATTAAAAAATGACTTAGTGATGTAAAATTTGAAATTATAGAAAGCAATAATAAATAAAAACAAATTATTATTTCATAACCTTATTCTAAGGGGCAAAATATAAATTTGCGGTGGATAAAATTGCAAAAATGGTCCCTGTGGTTTGTTAATTTCTGTGGGTAAGGTCCAAAAAAAAATTTATTAGCAAAAAAGATTCATATTTATCTTTTTACCAAACTACAAGGATCAATTATGCAATTTTTCTTTTACATTTTATTGAATTATTATATATTAATTATTTTAATTATTTTTTTCTTTATAACCTTTTTCTTGTTGTATTATTTGTTATTGGATTGTTATATATTAATAAATATTATTTTTAATATATTTTATTTATATATTAATAAGTATTACTTTTTTATTATTAACTTTTTAAATTTTTTTTTTGAATTTCTTCTTTATTGCATTAATTCTTTTTTACTGATTTATTATATATTAATAAATATTATTTTTAACATATAATATTTATCTATTAGTAAGTGCTACTTTTTTGGATTATTAAATTCATTTAATTAATTTTTAAATTTTTTTATTTTGTTAATTCTTTTGATTGGATTATTATATATTAATAAATATTATTTTTAATATATTATATTTATATATTAATAAATATTACATTTTTTATTATTAATTTTTTTAACTCATTTTTTTAAATTTCGTTCTTTATTGGATTAATCTTTTTTATTGGATTATTAATTTAAATTTATTATTTTTATTTATAATAAATAATATTTATTTAATAATTTTATTTTATTTTAATTTCTTTCTTTATTTTTTTAAATAAAAATACCAAACACTCTAAGTCAGCTCATCCATTCGTTGCACTTTACCACCTTGCATCGTCGTATCATCTCGCTGGAAATCATCGATCATCGACTACAGTCGGCCATTCTCGATGAAAACTACACCAGTTGACTACCCACACAATGTCAAATAAACCCCAGAAAACATACTTCCTCAAGCCGACCATTCATTACAGATACCTCCATCGATGACGACAATGTTAAATCGAAGGTTTTCAAACCACCATAGCTGCTATAGGTGGTGACAAAGTTTTAGAACTCGTTACTCGGTACTCGTTCGACCGACCGCCGAGTAGCGAATACTCAGATTTGGTAATTCATATACAAATATTTTTAGGGAAATTATATATATATATATATCAAAATCATAAGTTTATTAAAATAAATAACAAATTTAGATATAAAACACAAAATCTCACTTTGTAAATAATTATTGAACTTATATATATATATATATATATATATATATATATATATATATATATATATATATATATATATATATATATAGTAATAGGATTGGAGACGATCCCATAGTGGTTTGTTATGACTGAGTGATGGTGGTAGTGTTGTCCAAAATATATTATCTTCCAAATATTTAAAATAAATTAGAGAATGTAGGGTGGGTATGATTTTTTGGTATTTTTATTTGAAACAATAAAGAAAGAAATTAAAAAAAAAATAAAAACAATTAAAAAATATTATTTATTATAAATAAAAATAATAAATTTAAATTAACAATCCAATAAAAAGAACTAATGCAATAAAAAATTAAATAAAATTAATAATCCTAACACTTACTAGTAGATAAATATTATATGCTAAAAATAATATTTGTTTAATATATAATAATCCAATAAAAAAATTAATACAATAAAGAATAAATTAAAAAAAAAAATCAATTAAAAAAAATTAATAATAAAAACTGTAAAATTTATTAATATATAAATATAATATATTAAAAATAATATTTATTAATATATAATAATCCAATCAAAACAAATAACGAAATAAAAAAATTTTAAAAAACTAATTAAATGAATTTAATAATCCAATAAAATAACACTTACTAATAGATAAATATAATATTATATGTTAAAAATAATATTTATTAATATATATAATAATCCAACAAAAAAGAATTAATGTGGTAAAGAAGAAATTCAAAAAATTTATTAAAAAAAATTATAATAAAAAAAGTAATATTTATTAATATATAAATATAATATATTAAAAATAATATTTATTAATATATAATAATTCAATAAAAAATAATACAATAAGTAAAAAAGTTAAAAAGAAAAAATTAATTCAAAAAAATAAAAAATAAAAATTGCATAATTGATCCTTGTAATTTGGTAAAAATATAAAACTGCAGAAATAATCACAGGGGTAAATTCGTTATTTGCCAAAAGTTAATAACCATGCTTCTAAACTTAACGATGTAAAGACCAAACCATAACAAAACCATCAATTACGGACCTTTTTAACTAATAAACTTTTTTTTTAGATCTTACTCAAATTGAATCTGCAATTTTTTTCTTTGCGTGTCTAAAGGTTATGGGCAAAAATGTAAAATTGCAACCGGCGGCTGATATTTTGAGGGCAATACAAAATATCTAGTTCACAAAAATAAAAATCCGACGGCAGGAAAATATCTGAACGCTGACGTGGATCTAAGACGACGTGGCTGTAGGAACACGCCATGACACGTGTAAAAGCCTTGACATCTGGCCATTTTTACCCCTTCAGCATCAAAATGGACTCTCGAACGCACTTTTTTGGTCACTTTGTCACCAGAAAATATCCAAATCTACAGCGATTTTTCTCTCTCACGATTTTCTTTAATTCTCTATTCAAGATCTTTATTGTGATACCAAAGATAAAGTTTGTCCTCCGGCGACGGCGACTTTGACGCAGACGTGCTATTTGGAGTTGGAGATGACCGGCAACGTGCTACTGAGTGATTTTGTGGAGCAGGAGGAGAGTTCAATTATGGTAGTTTATTTGTCCTTAACTTGATCATATGTTTATTTCTATATGATGTTAGATTTGTGGTCAATAATTTAAGATCTGTTTGTGTCTGTTTTTTATCTGAATTGTGATGTGTATATTTAGGTTTTTTCGCCCTTTTCATCTTAATTGAGTTATCAGGTCTGTTTGTTTTAAACTTATCCTTATATTGATTTGTAGCACTAATATTGTGGTTTATCATCGTTTTGCGTACGTTTTGCAATAGAACATCTCTTTCTCACATGGTGCTTTTGTCTGCTAATTCTATGGAGCGAAATCGCTTTAAATCAAATTAAATGAGCTTCAATTCCAGCTTCAGACATTGATTTCCGTGCTCTGAAAGCAATCTTGTGGTCTTTTTAGTATTACGTTTGGTATTCTCCTTCGTGCTTTATACTGTTCTGCAGATTGTTTTGCATCGATGTATGGAGAAATTTGTGTTTTTGGCTTCAAACAAACCAACTTTTGATTTTTCTTTATAGTGTTTGTGTATAATCAATGTTTGTTTTTGTATTCTTCTATCATAGAGCATCAGTAATCCCGTATTCTAATGTTCATATTCAAACTCTGTGACTTCAATGAATTCTTGCCTCATTATCAAGGGTTCTAAACATTTTTGTGTTCGTTTCTCAAAATTCTGTTCTCATGTTTACTAATTCATACACTATTCTTTTCACAAATCAGGAATCCCAGAAAAAGGAATCATCAGAATGGACAAATGAGAAGCATAGTTTATATCTGAAGTCAATAGAAGCATCATTCGTTGACCAATTATACAACTCTTTAGACATACAAAACTATCAAACACAAAAAACCTCCTCCTCAAAAGCAATTTCATTTTGGAAAAACCACACTAATGCTCCACGTATCCCTTCAGGCCAGGTTTAAAATCTAACCCATTATACATCTCTTTTCAAACCCCTTTTATATTCATTTCCATCCTTCTGATCCAATTTCTTTTTTTGCAGTTTAAAGTTCATCAGGGTGGCTGTTGGACAAAGAAAAAGTTCATGAAAGAAAACCCACAACTTAAAGATTCAGAAAGATCCCATGTTTCTTTAACCAATCCATGGATCCAACATTTCACAAATGGAAACAGACATGGAGCTATGACATCAGCATCCCCTTCCCTCCATGAATCACTATCATCATCACCTGAAACTTCACAGCAAAATCCTGTTCCTGAATCTGATAGTAATACAGGTACTTACTTCTAAGTTACTTATATATATATATATATATATATATATATATATATATATATATATATATATATATATTCATGATGAGGAGGGCATTCATGTCTTTTGCACATTTATGAAAGTAGGATGCTATAAATTATAATAAACAAAGCAATGAAAGTACATTGCTATTTCTTGCATTTATTTTAAACATCCGGTGAAATTTTCTTACAGAAATGACAGATCAAAATTTTGTTGAAGACCTATCAATCGAGAAGACAAACACAAACAAACCAAACAACACAAAAAGGAAAAGAACAACTACAGTCGCTAATTCAAGCAACGATCAGGTAATTTGAATGACAGAAGGGTATTTTCGTCTTTTACACAAACTCGAAATCAAAAGCAAACCCTTGTCCCACTATTGACATCAGTCTTAGCCCTAGTCCCAGTCCTATGCACGCCAAACACAGTAAAATCTAACCTAATTTGTCCTGTTCTGTGCTGTTCTGTTTCTGATTGAGATTTGTTTATCAGGTGGTTCCTTTTTGTACTTCTACAATGGCAAAAAATAAGGCGTTATGAAAAGATGTTGAAGATGAGGAAATTAATATGTTGTTAAGTGGAGATAAATTAACCCATGCTACTCTTGGTAGTAAAGTTGTACATGATATGGAAGAAATTGGAAAAATCAAGATAGATAGGTCGTTCTTTAATTAGTTTGTGGTTAAATAGAGCCATCTTGCTACATCATCCATCAATCCTAGCTTGAAGAAAATCAAATGGTTTGAGGTGGATATTTTGCTTTGTTTAGTAATAAATGTTTGCAATTATGCATATGCTTGATGTAACAATAACAATATGAAGAATTCATATATATGACTATATTGATATGAGGTCTTAGGCTTAAGAATTTATATATATATATATATGGCCATATTTCGTGTTTAGGTTCCTCGTATTAGGGGTGTGTATGGGGCGGTTTGGTTCGGTTATTGGTCAAAACCGAACCATAACCATTATGATTGGTTAATGCATTTTGGTAATCATTGGATATGAGGAATATTGGTTATGGTTAATGGTTTTTATCGGTTAACGGTTTTGGTTAATGGTTAATATTGGTTAACCCACAAAATAATATAAATGATGAAATTATAGTGGCATAAAAAATTTAAAGAGAATACAAAAAATCCTTAGCACCAATGTTTGTAACCTAGCTTATAATAATATAATGAAATGTGTATCTTTGATACTCAATGTGAGATAACACATAATCACATTCAAAATAAAAAACATTTAATAAAAGTATAAAACATTAAAAAAAAAATCGACATTAATAACTTCATATATTGATAATCGATATTAACATTAAAATAAAGCCAAACATTCATACACGTTCAATGCGATTATATAAAAAAAAAACTATAAAATAAAATAGCTAAACATTTATATTACGTGTTATCTGGATTAAAAAAAACAATCACTCATATACATTCAATGTGATTATGTCAAAAATAGTAAATAAAAAAGAAAATTAAAAAAAAAAATACATTCTTAATATATCACAAAGTGAAGAAGAACCAAAAACTTAACTTACCTAGAAGTATTGATTTTAAATTAAAAAAATCCTTAGAATAGAACTATAAAGTCAAAACAATTTTTTATTAGGATTAACGGTATGAAAAGCCTCTGATTAGGATTATGAATGTGAAGATTAAACTAATTGTGAATAATGTTTACAAAGTATAGAATTAACCGATTTAGAATTGTAACATTAATAAATAATATAAATCAATGCATGATTGGAAAATTGTGTGTGTCTGCATGATCTACGTGATCATGTTGAAATTACACAAAATATTTTTCCCAACATCTTCATTTCTTATATCAATTTAGGACAAAGAAACAGAAGGTTTTCACGTACTTACAACTGAAACCTCACTACAAAACCCTAATCTATTCTCATTCAACTACACTCAATCCTAATCTTAGGCCTGTCAAATCGGGCTGTCGTCTCGTGTCAGGCACGACACGACAAGGTTTTTTGTAACACGAACACGACACGACACGATCTCGTGTTTTTTTTCACTAACACGAAAACGAACCAATTAAAAAATGACAACACGACACGACACGATAAAGATAATATTACATAACTATTATTTTATTTAATTCATATTTAATCATATATAACACGATAAACACGACAAACACGAAAACACGACAAATACATGCTCAATCGTGTCAATTTCATGTGGATTTGCAAACACGACACGACATCGTGTTTTTTAAACTTGACACGAACACGACACGAAAACGAATTCGAATTATGATTTCGTCCCGATTTCGTTTCGTGTCGTGTATTTTTGTCGTGTCGTGTCATAAATTGACACCCCTACCTAATCTAAAACAGATTATACGAATAGAAACATCTGATTGTTAATCTATCATCATAACAACACAAGATCAGAGAGAAGTAGAAAACACGAACAACGAAAGAAGAGAAAACCCTAGATCTATCTCTCAAGCTGAAGACTCTCATCTGCCACATATCTTCTCTCTCTCTTCTTTTATATCTCCGTGTCAAGTATATGGATCAACCCGACTATAACAAAAGATCCGCGTATCCTTCCCTGCATTTACATTCTAAACCCTGCTACAAATACTTTTAACATAATAACCCCTTTAAGAAAAAACAAATAAATATAAGATTGAAATATTCTTCCACTATTTTCAACATTCCCCCTCAATCGAAATATTTATTTGTTTTCCTTAAAAATATCAATGAGACCCATTTTTTTAGATAAAAAATCATGTTGTTTGATATTCAAAGATTTTGTAAGTATATCTGCATTCTGTTCAGAAGAAATAATTTTAACAAGTTTTATAACTCCATTTGAAATTTTTTCTCTTACAAAATGCAAGTCAATCTCAAAATGTTTAGTTCTTTCATGAAACACTGGATTAAGAGCTAACTTAATTGTTGAATCATTATCACAAAATACAAAAACTGGAATAAAATTCTTAACTCCTAATTCAAAAAAGATTTTCAAAACCCAAATTATTTCACATGTAACAGACCCAAGAGCTCTATATTCAGCTTCAGTGGAAGATCTAGAAACAGTAGACTGTTTCTTACTTTTCCATGAAATCAAACAATTATTAAAATATACTAAGTAACCTGTTACAGATTTCCTTGTAGTTAGACATTTTGCCCAATCTGCATCAACAAATCCACTCAACATAAAGTTATCAGATTTAGTTATTGCAACTCCTTTTCCAGGACATCCTTTTAAATATCTTAACAACCTTAAAGCAATTTTTAAATGAGACTTCCTAGGTTTGTGCATAAATTGACTTAGCACTTGAACTCCATAAGCAATATCTGGCCTAGTAATAGTAAGATATATAAGTTTTCCAATCAGCTTTTGAAATTCAGTTTTATTATCTAATAACCCATTGTGTTTATCATCATTTCCTGTATTTATCATAAAGTTTGTCTCTAATGGAGTGCTAACCGGTTTACAACCAAGCAATCCATACTCATGCAAAAGCTCTAAACAATACTTTCTTTGATTTAAACACAAACCATTATCAATATTTACTAATTCAATACCTAGAAAATACTTAAGAACTCCAAGATCTTTAATCAAAAATTGAGTTTTCATAAATTCTTTAACCTTTTTTAATTCAGTTTCACAATTACCAGTTAATATAATATCATCAACATATACAAGTAACACAGTTATTGAACTATCAAACCTTCTAATAAACAGTGAATAATCACTTATGCTTTGTTGAAAACCAAACATAAACAAAGAAGCACACAATTTTTCATTCCATTTTCTAGGAGCTTGCTTTAAACCATATAACGATTTTGTAAGCTTGCAAACCCTAGAATCATTTTCAGAATAATATCCAGGAGGAAGAGACATATACACATCCTCAGATAGATCACCATAAAGGAAAGCATTATTTATATCTAACTGATATAAAGGCCAAGAATTATGCACAGATAAGGAAATAACAATTCGAATAGTCACAATTTTTGCAACAGGAGAAAAAGTTTCTTCAAAATCAATCCCTTCTCTTTGATTATACCCCTTAGCCACTAACCGGGCTTTATATCTTTCAACTTCACCATTTGACTTATATTTAATTTTAAAAACCCACTTGCAACCAATTGGTTTCCTGTTTTTAGGTAAATTTGTTATTTCCCAAGTATGATTACGATGAAGAGCTTCCATTTCTTCATTCATGGCCTTTACCCAATTAGGATCAGATAAAGCCTCATAGTAATTTTTAGGCTCTACAGTCTTATTCAGATTCGAAACAAAACATTTAGCATCAGTATTAAGCAAAGAATAATTAACAGATCTTTCTATGCCATATTTATATTTTCCTTCTATAACATAATCAGCAAATTTAATTGGCATATGTGATTCACGTCTAGACCTAGATGCACCTATAGACAGTTCTACTGAAGGGGTTGAAGAAATATGACTATTTTCCTCAGACATATCAGAAGATAAAGGAATAGAACCAACAGAATGAGGCATATTTACCTCGCCACTACGGTTGACTGACTCAATTAAGTCACTGTCATCCAAGTCAGTAGCTGCATTAATACCATCCTCCTGTGACTCCACTCTCAGTTCATCTAAATTTATAGAATCATTTAAGTATTCATTTTTATCAAAGTCATCATAGGAAAAAGGATCAACAGGGCCAAAAGTATTAAAAGTTTTATCACCAACAGTTGACCTCAATTTATAAGGAAACACTGACTCATAAAACTTCACATCCCTGGATACAAAAGAACAATTAGTATCCAAACTAAGAAGTTTATAAGCTTTCTTATCAGATGAATATCCTAACAAAACACATTTTTCTGCACGCTCAGAAAATTTATCAGATACATTTTGTCTAGCAGCAAAACAAAGACAACCAAAAACTCTTAAATGATCAAAATTAGGAGTCTTTTTAAAAACAAGTTCATAAGGAGATAAACCATTCAAAATAGAAGTAGGCATTCTATTTATCAAAAAAACCGAAGTTAAAACTGCATCTCCCCAATACTTAACAGGAACTCCTGACTGAAACATAAGAGATCGTGCCACATTAAGAATATGTCTATGCTTTCTTTCCACAACTCCATTCTGTTGTGGAGTGTAAGCACAAGAGGTCTGATGAATGACTCCATGTTCAATACAATAAAACTTCATTTGATTATTTACAAACTCTGTTCCATTATCAGACCTTATAGTCTTAATGTTAACACCAAACTGATTTAATAGAATATTTACAAAAACTTTAAAACAATCAAAAACTTCACTTTTAGATTTTAAAAGAAAAGCCCAAGTTGCCCTAGAAAAATCATCCACAATAGTCAAAAAATACTTATAACCCTCAACAGAAGCCAATCTATAGGGACCCCAAACATCTAGATGAATCAATTCACCTAATTGAGATGAATGATGCTGACTATGAGAAAAGGATTCTCTAGTCTGTTTTGCTTTATGACAAGTATCACAAGGAGGTAAGGATTCATTTCCAAAATTCAGTTTATCTTTTAGAGCACTTAAAGCCTGGTCAGCAGGATGACCAAGTCTACTGTGCCAGGTAAATTTTGAAACAAAACACTTAGGAATAGTTAAACTAGCAAAATTACCTAAGGGAACATGATCAAGGTAATAAAGACCCCCTGATTCCCTACCATTCTCCACCATCTCCTTTGACAGTGAATCCTGAATTTTACAATTATGTTCAGAAAATACAACTTCACAACCACTATCCTTACAAAGCTTGTGTACAGACAAAAGATTAACATTAAAGTCTGGAACAGCAAACACATCAAATAAAGTAAGATGAGAAGATAATTGAATGTTCCCTATTTTG